AGATACTCACTGCAATAAGGTCATCCCTTGCCTTGAGGACCTTCAGCCTCGCTTGATTCATCAGGTTGGACATCTGGCTGCAAGTTGCATGATAAAGTTGAATCAATCCATCAGCCTTTGACAGAAGAACTGTAACATTTGCATTTAAAGGTAACAATTCTACAACACTTAAAGCCAAGGTCTGTTGACCTGTCTGAATCTGTTTCTGGACTTGCACAAAAGATTAAACTGCAGGAGCCCTTTCTTGATGAACCCAGCCAAACGAAACCCAACATGATCATTTGTCCCAGGGTAACAGAGCAGGGTAGAGTTCTAGATGTTAACTACAAAAAGAAATGTGAAGGATTCTTTTATCACACTGTTACACCATTGTAGCTCAGTTTTGATCATTTCTCCCCAGAAAAAAAACCAGGAACTCATAATTAGAGCTATATATGTTGTCTACAATGTGAGTGCTTGCAGGGCCAGAAGAATTTTGTATAAAACTAACAGCAAAATGCAAACTCGGGCTCTGAGGTCAGCTGTCTAGCCCAAGCAACTCACATTTTCTTTTGCTGTTCAATTTGCTTTTCCTTCTTTTCATAATACTCCATGATTTTCAGCCTCTGTGTCTGAACAAGGCGACCCTTCTCAATGTTGAATTCTTCTTCTGCCTACAGTAAAAATTAAAGAACTGAAGTGGAAATTGATTCCTTGGGCTGAAAAAAACAGAACCAAAATGTAACAGAGCACATTCACACACAGGATAGGATGATACAATCTATGGTTCCATATAAAAACCCTTCACCTCTTTAAGTAATTCTTACACAAGGAGGGTGACAGCACAGCTTTTCATTTTTTTTTGTAAAGCCTCACTAGACAAAATGTAAAAACATGTGGATAATTGTCCTACTTATATCTGAGAATCCAATCTCAACTTCTGAATTCTGTTTGCAGATCTTCAGGAATACAAGCTTTAGTACTGATTAAATATTTATGCAAACCTAAATGTTTAAGGGAGATTAAATATTATCAGCAACATGTATGCTGAGTCCAATACCAGCAAGGCATTTCCCTGGTGGTGTAATGCAGATTGCTGGGGCTGAAAGGCACCATTAATCCTTCTTCAGTAAACATCTATACTCTAACTCCAGGTTAATATTAAACCCAGTCTCTTGTGGCTTAAGCTAAGTGAAGCATTCAGCAAGTCATTCAACTCCTGCCTTAAATACTAATTTGGTGGGGGAAGGTGTCCTACTCAATCCAGTTGAGTCACATTTCCTCTCAGCTCTCCTGATTGCTCAAAAAAAGGGTTGCACTTTGATATGAATATATTTATATTCAAGAACCACCGAAACATTGACCAAAACCAGCTCTGAGTCGTTTTCATTTGTCAAAAGCTAAGAAATGCTGTCTTTGGTACATTTTTGCTGTGTAGTAACTAAACAGAAACCAGCTGTAGCTTACAAAGGTTTCTAGTTCTCTCTGAAACTTTCAGAGCAGGGTGTGGGAGGCAGTTTTCCTTTTGCACTTACTGACAGTGAACTTCCATTTTTACCTTGGCATCTATTTCTTCAGCCTTTTCATTGGCTTCCTGCTCGATGAAAGCCATCATGTGCTTGATCTGTAACCAGAGAGAGGAAAGAAAATGTTTTCTGTAGGAAAGGACACTGACCAGAGGAAGCAGGTGTATGTATCCACTCATCTGTACAGCCTCCATATCCATTTACTCTTTCATATGATATTGTTTGGCAGGGAAATGTCATTGAGCATACACAAGAGTCAGTTCATCTGGACATATATTACAAGAAAATAATTTCCCCCAATAATTCTATATAATGCTGTTTCACTAGCTGCCATTAGGAGAATGCACTTCAGGTATGCAACCATAAAAAACCCCAAAACAAACCAAAGAACCCCAAAGTAAATTTGTATAAATGCAAGGCCATTTTTGGGTATAAATGCGAAGGTATTTTTGTTCTTCATACATGAGACCAACTTTTTTCACCCCTGAGATTATTAAATAAACCTTCCAGACTTCAAAAACGAGGCATTTTTATCAATGTGCCTCACAACAAATGAGTTATGTGCCTCATAACAAACGGGTCTGTTTGTTATGACATTTCCATGAAACATAAAGATTACACAGATGGCATCTGAATGAACCTGGGCCTTCCACAGATGAACAGTGAAGCCAAGCCAAGTGCCACTGACCACTCTGGTGAGATCTGTACAGCCACCAGCTCCTCTGAACACCAGAGACCCTTCTCTTGGGAAACTGTAATAAATTCTGTAAAAGCCTGTACTGTCACTTTGGAGGGGCTGGGGAAGGAGAGAGCAGCAGCAAAGCTCTGTGACCCAGACCACATCAAGAATGTCACATGCTGCTCCAGAGCCCCACAGGAACCAACAAGTTCTACTTGAAAAGCATTTCTGCAGCCACCTCAAAGCACTACAAAGCCCAGGTCCAGCAGCTGAGAGAGCAGGAAAGCAAACAGACCCAGATCTGCCCATCCATCACATGGCTCTCTGTGAGCAGCCTCAGCTCAGGCTCCCATTTGGGACAGACTGGAAGGACTCGCTCCCAACCAAACTGCAACTGGGAGGAGGCACAGACACTTCCATGGCCACATGGAGCAGACCCTAAAACCTCCTGACTTTCTGTCTGCTTGCACTCAGTGATGAGACACATTCTGCAGAAAATCCAGGCTGAATAAACTCACACAAAAGACTCTATTTACAGAATCTCGTGTTAAAATTCAATGTTTTAAAGAGATTAGAAAGGTGCCAGGGTGAAAAGTGAGCCAATGTGCAGCACTAAGCCCATAGGGATGAAAAACCAGAAGTGAAGAGACAAATGGAAGATTTTAAACACGTGTTAGCACAGTGGAACAAGTGAACAGCAACATCTACATCCTCAAAATCAAATCAGCAGGTTTGCTTTTAATTTGTCTCTGCAAAGACTCTCAAGTGCTTGTCCACCTACCCTGCCTTCCAGAAAGGCCAAGAGAGGCATTTAAAAGAAGGATACGATTTTGCTGAATAGCCTATTGTTGAAGAGGACTGGGAACTTAGCAGCAGCAGCCTTTATGTGACTGAGTCACTTCCTCCAGTGCAGTCTGGTTTCTGAATTTTGGACAAGCACTTGTGACAGTTCTGGGTGTTCAGGAAACATCCTCTGTGTAAAGAAAGGGAATGAGATGGAAGCAAGCTGATATGGAATGCACCTCTCCTAGACTGATAGGACTGAACAGTGTTACTTCCTTCAAAAGCTGCTGTACTGAAATCCCCTTTTGTTTTTCTAGAAATGAAGAGTGAGATTTTCACATCTATAAATAGGATCAGTTTTAATAACAGTGACAAAAATGCATTTTGAAATGAGAGACTTATTTTAAGGCAGTATTTCCTGCAGAAAGGAGGAAGGGGTTTTCCTGTCAGGAGCAGCGTGATTACCCTTTCCAATGGAAGTTCTAGATGGGCTTCAGAAGTGACCAGATGGAACAATGTGTTAAATTCCTTTCACAGAGCAACAAAGCAAGCCAGACAGTGGGAAAAGTCTCAATCAGAGATGATTTTCAGAGTGACAATCGCTGGAAGTGTGGTGGCAAGGAGGACCTGCTGGGAAGTTGGTGCAGGACTGTGGATCATCATCAGCACTGCCCAGTTAACAGGATCATGCCGGGCCCAGGAGTGCAAAGCACTGACAGGAACGTGCACATGTGGAATGCCACCAGTATTACATGTCTGATACATCACCAGAGCCTCAAGTGACCTTTGAAGTTCAGGTCTGGCTGAGCAAGACCACCTTAATATCAGCTTTATTTTTATTATCATAAAAGAGGCAGGGAAAAAAACCCAACCCAAGCTTTGCAGATAAAAGGAATACAATGTAATGTTACAACTCTCCTTCTGGAGAAAGGCAACCTACCAATTTTACTTTCATTGTGATGCTGCCTTGCCAAGAGACTATGTTTACTGAATGAGAAAGTGAGACACGAGTACTTGTGATGCAGAGGACAAAGGGAACTCGCCTGATCTGCTCATCACCTGCAGGAACTCCCCACACCAGTGCTGACTGGATGCCCACGGCCTTTGACACCACACACCTCTCCAACCCAGCTGAAAGCAGTTTTTTTAGCTGAGGGCAGTGTTTACTGTCAACAGGGACAGGCTGTCCTGCCTCTGGAGGAACGTGCACAGCCAGACTTCAGCGCTGGAAGTTTCCATTGCAAGCCAGCCCCTACTCTGGTTAGGATGTAGAGCTGAGAAGGGCATTCAGGAACAGTGAGCAGCCCACCCACATGCTAAGGTACAGCTAACTGCAGGTAACACAGCTACAAGCCAAAAAGAGATGGCAAATCCTCAGGGAACCATGGAATCATTAAGGTTGGAAGAGACCTTGGGGATCACCCAGTCCAACCATCAACCATAACCTTTAATCCACTAAACCACTTCAGATCCAGACACCTCCAGGGATGGTGATTCCACCACCCCCCTGGGCAGCCCATTCCAATGCCCGACCACTCTAACAGTGAAGTATTTTTTTCAACATCTGATGTGAATCTCCCCTGGTTCTCCCTTCTGCAGGAAGAACAGACCAGCCCTCACCTCTCAGCATCCACCCCAGCAGGCTGTAAAGCACAGTGCTCATCTGAGACTCTGCATTTACCCGCCCGGGGTGCAGTTAACCCCTGCAGACAGCACACAGCCTGCTCGGGAACCCTCCCGTCACAACCGGGCCTAACACGGCCCCAAAACGCCTCACGGAAGTTGCCTGTGGGGCCCACCCAGCCAGGCAGGGGAAAAATCGCCTTCGTGTCGGGAGACTCCTCTAGCCAAGCCAGGATCCCTCCCCTCCATTGATCTTCCGTTCCCAGAGCAGCAGGCCCGGTAGGGAGCGCGCCCGGGCCCAGCGCTGCGCTGAGGGCCCGGCGCCGCCAGCCCCGCTCCCCCTCAGGGGCTCCGCTCGGGCCGGGCCGCGCGGCCCTACCTGCTTCTGCACGTCCGCATCGCTGAGCGCCATGGCGGCGGTGGCAGTGGCGGTGGCAGTGGCGGTGTCGGGGGCAGCCGCAGGCCCTGCAGACGCGGCCGGCACCGTCGGTGGCCGCGAGCGGAATCAGATCCGGTTCGAGTCACAGCCGGGGCGGGGCGTCACACGCCCCGCCCACCGCGCATCCGGACCAATAGGAACTCGACAAACGAATGATGTCACACGGCCATATATGGTGATCGCGTCACTGTCGCTGTCCCTGTGTCATTGACAGGCTGTTACAGCTGCAGCGGACAGCGCTGAAACGCGGGACGAGCTCCCCTGCCAGCCCCCAAAGCCGCTTTGTGCTGGCAGCAGGGAGAAGCAGAAAGATGCAGGAAACAGCCGGACAAGGGGAGGGCAAGGAGGGCCTGGCAGCAGTGCTGTCACTGCGGCCGTTCTTTTCTTTATGGCAAAATTCAAACAAACTTCATAATTCATGAATTATGGCATAATTTAAACAAACTTCAAATTCAAACAAGCTTCATAATCTATAATAGTATTGGTTTGTTCTAGTCGGCAAGAGGTTTCCACTTCCACTCTGCTGGAACATTTTGTGGAAAAGACAAAATCATTCCCCTACAAATCACTGTCAAATGTGGTATTCGTCACATCCATGCTTCTTCCTGATTTATTTCCATTTCCTTAATTTTTTCTGTGCTTTTTAAAATATTTTTCCCTGTGTGGAAAAGCTTATGATAAAACTGTGTGTAACTTTGCTGTCTTTTCATATTGCCGTTATAATGCTAAAAATCAGCTTGTACTTCGGATCTGGAGAACGCTTTACTATTACTTCAGGCACCACGTACATAATAATGAAACCGGTTTTAACAAAGAAAAAATATAATAGCAAATGATAATGATGTCTATTATTATAAAATAAATATTGCTAAATAAAATAACAAATACAGTTGGAATTATATCCAGGCTCTGTTTCTTTTCTGTGTGCCCCTTGCCTTGCCGGGGGGGGGGGGGCGTTTGGGATTCTGACCCACCGAACCCACACCTGCAGCCACGAGACCCGGAGGTCAGGGCGGCAGGAGCTGCACTGCTAAGGGCTCCTGTTGCTCCGAATCCACGAGGAAACGGGACAGGTTGGCACAAACCCCCCCTCCCCACGTTTATTCCCGGGGCCGGAGGCTCCGTGACCGCCGCCAGCCGCTCCCGCCCGGCCCCGCCCCGTCACGTGCGGCGGGCGGAGCCCCCGCCTGGCCCCGCCCCCTCCCCGGCGCGAGCCGTGACGCGCGGCACGCGCCGCGCCGCGCCCCGCGCGCTCCTGCCCCCGCCCCCTCCATCATGGCGGCGGCGGCGGCGGCAAATTAGGGCAGAGCCCGCGCACCGGGCGCGCTCCCGCCTCCCCCCCTCCCCTCCTCACCGCCCCCGGCGGGAGCGACCCGGCAGCTGCGGCCGCTCCTCCACCTCCAGTTCCTCCCCGCGGCGCCCGCAGGTGAGGAAACGGGCGTGGGAGCGGGCGGGCTGACTGTTGATTTATTTTTGTTTGTTTTGTTTATTTATTTCTTTCCCTATCTATCTGCGTTTACTCATTGATTCAAGGGTGGTGGGGGAGCGGGGACCGGCGGCTGGGCGCGCTCCCGCCGCCCTCCCGCGCGCACCCCCGGCCGTGAGTTGGGGGGAGCGCGGCGAGCCGGGAGCGCGCGTCTCGGCGGGGGCGCGGCGGGGGCAGGCGCGCCCCCTGGCGGGCGGTGCCGCGGCCGAGGGACGCGCGGACCCCCGGGACGCCCCCGGGGCACCCCCGGAGCCGCGGGCAGAGTGGCGAGGGGGCCGTGCCAGGCTCCCGTCGGCGGCTCCCCCGCTGCAGGGGCCGCGGCAGCGCGCAGGCTGCGAGTCCCGCGCGGCGCCGCCGGTGACTCATCCCGCCGCCGTGCCCGCCCGCCCGGGTATAAATAAATAAATCTCTCATTCATCGCCGTAGTAACTGAGGGGCTCACGCTGCGCTCCCGCCGGCGGCTCCGGCGCCGCTGAAACTTGGAAGGGCTTTTTTCGGCTCCTCAAACCCAAACAGGCGCGTTAAGGCAGAAAGTGAATGGAGCTCGTTAATGAAAGCTGTGCTTGTCATAATTTAATGCTGTGGTGAGATGGTTTGAAGCTGCGGAGGATTGAGGACCTTTGTAGTGGATAACGCATACAGCTTTTGTTTTTCTTCCTAGAAGAGAAATCACCCCGTTTGCCTAGAGTGCTCACCTAATTGCATTTCTGTCAGAGGTCAGCTACAGCCGCTGTCCAGACAAATAACAATTATGTTTTCCAGTATTTCTATCCATTAAGAGCCACCAGAGGATCAGTAGTGGCTGCAGTATTGATTCATTTCCAGTAGGAACTGACATGTTTGAACTGAGTAGCTCTCCGTTTATTATAAACAATCTCTTAGTCATACCCTCATACCCAGTTGGAAAAGTACTCCGGAGAATTTATCTCCCAAGCTGATCACAACTGGATGCTTTGGATCCCCTGCCTGTTATGGGAAGCGTTTTCAGAGACAAACTGCTGCAAGGTTTAACTAGCCCACACATGCAAGTCTCACCCAAAATCCCCACGTCTGGTAAGGCTGCAGAGTGCCTGAATATTTTCCATCTTGTTGATACGGGGTGTGGCTCTGTAGACCTGCAACTCCTTGAAATTGGGCACGTTTGTGAAGGATACCGAGGCTGTAGATGCAGCTGAGCCGAGCGTGGCTGCCTGTTGCCGAGACTGATGGCAGGAGGACGACCCAAACCGTGAGCATATCGAGGTCAGGAGGCCCTAAAGATGATGTGAGCTGCAGTGCTGCCATCCTGCTGCTTGGCTGAGCGCTCGCTGGTCGGGGCTGTGGCAGTAATTCAGCAGCAGCAGGAGGAGTTCTGCCACAGCAGCTCACAGGGTGACTGGGTTTGTGGCTGGTGAGTGAGGCTCTAGGTGGGGAATGCATCCAGCTCTGGAGTGATTCCATTTTGGAGTGGGAGCTGAGGGCTGTGGTGCTGCTGTTTGGAAAGAGCTCTGGCAGCGCTGCTGTTTCTGAAATCCGTAGGTGACATTGTTTGTGAGAACCAGCTGAACTGCTCTGGGCAGTCGAGCGGTGATGTTGCACTTTGGGTTTGGATGATGCAAGCAAACACATCTTGATGCACGGTGGGGTTTTACAGACAGGGACTCAAACACAGCCCGGCCTCGTGGCTGGGGATTATATTCCCTGTATTCATTGGTAGGCTGGTGCTGCCCATTATCCAATTTATAACTCTGCTGTGGATTAGGACGTGACAGATGGGGAAATGTCAGTCCTGCTGCAACTCCTGCTCTCAGGTCGCTTGAGCAGCTCAGCCCACATGAAACAAGTGACAGCAGGGCCGGAGGAGTGACAGGCTAAGTCAGCTTCAACAGGTAGAGCCTTCTGTCCCCCAAGGGTGCAGGAACTGGGAAAGGTGTTTGTTTTTGGTTTTTTTTTGTAGGGAGTAATTGGTAATAATGTTGATCTCTGTAGTTTGTTAAGGACAGTATTCCTGCAGAGGTCTTGTTAAACCTGCAGCAGCCCTCTTGCCCTGGCTCTGAGACTTGAGGAGTCTGTGTAGCTCCTTATTTCCTGTGCTCCATTGCATCTCCTGTACAAGCTTGTCATTTAAACACTTTCTGGACTCTCTTCCATTTTGCTCCTTTAGTGGAGAGCTCTCTTTCCTCTGATCTGGTCTCTCAAGCTGTGTGTCCTTTTTCAATCCCCCTCGTTCCTGAAAAATGGCCTTTTCTGAGATATTTACAGGATCTGAGTCAATATTTCTGTGTTTGTCTTTGTAAACAAAACCAGTCATTCTCAATCCTAAAGGAGTCATTCAGTTTCTGTGCTGTGGGCTTCTCTCAAAGGAAAGTCAGTGATTCTGAAGTGCACTTCCACTCATGACATTCTTTTATGTGAATTTGAAGATTTCTTCCATTCAAGTTCTTAAGTCTCCTTTCTCATTTCATTACAAAACTGCCTCTCAAAATGTATCCACTGAGGTAATTTTTTTTTATCATTCTTTCCCCAGGGAAACATTAGCCACTATTTAAATAAGCTGTGGTCTCATGCTCTCTCTCTGTTTTTTTTCCCCTCCTCCCCTGAGAAGTGCTGAGCTGTGATTTTCATGAATTAGGCCTCCCTGTTGCACTGTGCTGTTTTGGATATCATGCTTGTTTTCATCAACTTTTTTTTTATTTCATTTTCTGCATTGATTTGGAATTATATTTTGAAGAATAATCTCTATTATATATTCAGACTTGTTCTTTGGTCCACAGCACAGTTTCTGGATGTCTCTGGACCATCTGTCAGGCTGATTTTTTTCAGGAGAGATCAGTTCAGGTTGTCTGGAAGGGCTCCCATTCACTGTGTAGGCTTTGTGAGAAGCATTTTGATTTCAGGTCTGTGGATCTCTACTGAACAAACCAGAACTGAAACAGGCTGGGGAGCTTTTGCTTTTTGGGGGATGGCACCTTTCCCACCTGGTGATGTCAACATGTGATGTGTGGTGACTGCGCGTGGGCTGAAGGGCAGATCTATTGTTAAAGGATCCTAAAGTCTTCAGAGCAGTTTGGGGTTTTTTTCAGTTCTTCTTGGTCTATAAAAATCTCAATTTTGGAAGAGGCTCAAAGCTGTGGTTCTTCTGTGCTGTGATTCCTTAGGTGTCTGAAGCAGGATGTGCTGCCTGTGGAGCACTCTGGGATGGAAGAGGCAGCACAGATGAAGTGTTGGCTCCAAGTTCATTGTTTCCTTTGTATATAATTTGCTGATTTGGTTCAAGCTGCAGCAAAGACACAACCCTACATTTCTGATGAAGGCTTTCAGGCATTTTTAAATACATGGAGCAAGAGGCAGGGCTGCCATAGTATGGTCTTCAACAGAGAGCCCATTTCTGTTTTCTGTACTGAATGGGTTTCAGAAGCTAGAGTTTCTAAAGAGAATAGCCAGCCCATTTTACAGCACTTCTTTTCCTTTTACAGCTTTTAGTTTGGTGGTAAATTCTTCTTTGCCAAGCTACCTACGCCCACTGCAGCCATGCCACAGCACAGTTCTAGTTCTGTTTATCCTCAGTAACCAGTGTGCAACTGCTGTTAATCTGAATTCCTTCTCAGGGAGGAGGGATTAGAAGTTAGGCCAGGCATCTTGAACAGCTAGACGGGCAAGTGCTTTTCTTTTGCTTTCTTGGTTTATTATTATTATTATTATTATTATTAAACTTGAGGCTTCACTTGCAGATTGTTCTTTGGTTTTGGAACCCGATTCTTTCTTTTAGTCCCAAGGCATTTCCAGTGCAATCCATAATTCTCTTGAGAGGGTCCAATTTCTCTTCCTTGTATTTAGCATTTTGCTCATTCTAACTGCTTTAAACTTTAAACTTGATAAAAAAATCTTCTTCTAAATGTAACTGTGTCTCACATTACTAAATTATCTGGCTCTTTCAGTGCCTGTTCAGTAGCTGTTTTGTAGCACAATCTTCTTTGTGTGCTTTTCATTTACACATCCATTCTGGTGGCCAAGAATGGGCCACTGCTTGTTTGGGAATGACTCTTGGAAGTCCTGGAGAACTCAACTTGAAGAGTTTGTCAGAAACCCCCTGACAGCATTATTGGATCCATTAAGTTGACAGCATGTTGGTAGTTATCCAGACTTCACCAAACAAAACCAGCTAAAACATGTTGATTAATCTCAAACATCCTTTTCATCTCTTGCATGGCTTTTTCTCCACTTCCATGTTGTTGTTTGAGGTTTTCCTTTTTACCATGTTGGTTTTAATTTCTCTCTACCTTAGTTTTTCCTGCAGGTCTTCTTTGGATATTTGAAAAAAGCAACAAAACAATTAGTGTGAAACAGGGAGGAGTTTTTTGGCCAGATGTTGCTGTTGGGTGTGGATTCTGGTTTATACTTAATAACATCTGGGTGAGAAATCCAGGACAAACAACCATCTGTACTTCCAATCCCTACAATGAATGTAGAATTCTCTCTGTTGACCATATGTTTTCCATTGCTGTTGGAACACTAAAATTAATTTGAGGCAATTTTGGTCACTTTTTCTGTTATAGTTTTTGGGCATCACAGTAGCCAATCTGAGAAAGCAGAGAAAATATTGATGGGAGGCTTTGGGAAAGGGAGACTCCTCAGAATTTGCCTTTTTACCACGTGTTGTGGGTAAGGAAATGTTCAGAATCTGTCAAAACATGAGACTAATGGTCTCTTTCTAACTTCCATAAAAATCCATAGGCTCTGAGCCCTGACTTCCACTTCCAAGCATGGGATTTATTTTCTGTGGGGTGTACTCCAGCTGTTTTGTTCTTGTAACAGCAAAGAATTAAGAAAGCTGTGGAAAACTGACCCATCCAGTTGACAATTTCCCTCCACCCTACTGAGGCTTGCTTCATCTTGGTTTTAGGCTACACTTTCAGCTCCAGGTGTAAACTCAAAATCTAATATAGAACTTGATCAAAATGAATTAAATGCCATAAATACTGGGAAAAATTAAC